AATAAGATAAAGTAATGCTCACTGGGCACTAGCAGACATTTTTGGGCATTAATGGGTGTTATTTGGCCTTGTTGGGGCATTATAAAGATTCTAAAAAGATAAAACTAGATAAAGTAATGCCCACTCTGGATACTAGCAGGCGTTTTTGGGTATTAATGGGTGTTATTTGGCCTTGCTGGGACATTATAAAGACTCTAAAAAGATAAACTAAGACAATAAGATAAGGTAATGCCCACTGGGCACTAGGAGACATTGGTGTACATGATTTTGGTCAGCGGTTTACCCCTCGTTTCGCACGCAGTCGAATCGGTTAGAGCGAAAAGGGTACACTTAACAAAATCTTGTATTTGAAAATGCTGTTTAAAATAATAGAATATGAATTTTCAGTAGGTTTTCCACTGCTTTGAAGAGGCGGCTTCTCAAACTTTTCATTATAAAAAAAGATTTTTTTTTTAATTTCGGTTTTAGAGCAAGGACACCATTGTTGCCTCGATTTCAACTAATACGTCACGTATCCGCTTTCTCACCGGCTCGATCGTTTCCTGAGGACCGTAACGACGCCGAGACTCAGCTTGACAATGTGAGAGGTGCGCGTCCCCGCGAACCGACTCGCGAAATCGAGCGGATAGAGAGATAACGTGCGAATTAGGAGGGAAAGCGCGCGATAACGATGCAGGCTTACAAACGGGCGCGGAGAAGCGACGTAAATGCGACAGCGATGTATTTCCAGTTTCACGTATCTCTCTTCCTGCCGTGAAAGAGGAGGATGACTTAAAGTACCGATAAAAACTTTGGAGAATCACATAAACGTCCAATTATGTCGAGGGGCTCGGCTCTCGCACCGCACATATCGAGGTCTCTTCATTTCTGCCCGTTTTTTTCCGACTCACCTTGATTTATTTGTCTCTTCTGCGATAGTTTTTGTAAAAGACAACGGAACGCGGAATGTGTGTAAAAAGCTGATGGACTCCTTTTTTTTTTAATGATATCTCTGTCTCGTTCCAGGCATTTGCATTTCTTGCTTATTTAAAGAGTCGGGCAGGCTGATTCCGTCATACGTAGCCTATTATTTTTAATCGCGTCGATTAATTTACAATTAATATTCGTCATAATGCGGCACTGTCCGTGGCAATAAATTGGCGCGTAAATTAAACCCACGCGCTTAATTGAGTCCGCCGGCGTGTAACGCATGCATTTAACGTGTCTCGTATGCCTCGCGACGTGTTACCATAATAAGCCTGTGCACTTACCCAATGTGCTCGTTACGTTTGCTGTTACGTGCATTACAACGAGAGAAACGCACGTGTGTATGCTCTTTATCGTCGATATATTATTTATACACACACACACACACACATACACACATATATATGGTGTTTCTTAATACTGTTCAGTATTCTAGAAGTGATCAATTTTTGTGGTCTTTTCACGAAGAAAAGTCCACACGGTGTCAAAGACTTCGTTTCAGAGATTATCGAACGTACAAGCTATAAAATTGTCGTTTCTCTTTTCGTAGTAGTTCTTAAAGAAAAAAGGGTTTAAAAAAAATTAATCAGCGAGATTAATGAAATAATAAAAGTCTGCAAAAAATTTGATCTCGACCATTGACGTTCGCAGTGATGTGCTATCTAAATCCCGTTTCTATGTCATTGACTTTTTACAAAAATCAGCGACTAGTGTAAGCGTTAAATGAAAGTAATATCCTGCGTATCTTCATCTGAATTTGAAGAGGGAAGCTCTTTTCTGAGGAATAAACCGCTGAGAGCATTGTGGTGTACAGATTTGCGGCATTACTGGGCATTGCTAGACATTTTTTGGGCATTAGGCCTTGCTGGGGTAATGTAGAGGTAAAATAAGATAATAAGATAAAGCAATGCCCACTGGACATTAGTAGGCATGGTGTACATGATTTTGGTCAGCGGTTTACTCGCTCTTTTCACTTTCCTAAGTGCCATTAAGCTATTAAGACAGACCTACATAATTCGAGAGGGAAACCGTTGACCAAAATCTTGTACATACACCAATGCCCACTAATGCCTAGTGGGCATTACTTGATCTTATTGTCTTGTTTTATCTTTATAATGCAAGGCCTAATACCCGAACTAATGTCCACAAAATGCCTAGTAATGCCCAGTAATGCCGCAAATCTGTACACCACAATGCCCTCAGCGGTTTCCCCTTTGACATAATTTTTATGAAAGTTTCCATAACTCTGAAACGAGGCTTTTGAGTTGATTATGTGAACGTTTCCCCCGAGGGGAAAACCGCTGACCAAAATCTTGTACAACAATGCCCAGTGGGCCTTTATTTATCTTATTAGCTTATTTTATTTTATTTATCTTGCTTTATCTTATTTTATCTTTAATGCCCAAACTAATGCCCCAAAAAGTGCCTAGTAATGCCGCAAATCTGTACACCACAATGCCCTCAGCGGTTTCCCCCTCGGTCTCCCCGTAAAACGCCTCGAAAGGTCAGTTCCTCCAAAGTATTGAACAGGACTTTAGAAACACCCTGTAGACACTGTAGTGAGTAATGCACGTGGTTGTGCACAGTATATACACGAGGAGCGAATGCCAAGTCTCTGCCGATTAGAAGGATTATTTTGAAACTTGGGATTTTGCAAGGGGGATTAGATTCGCGTGGTGAAAGACGCTTTTCAACAGGACATTTAAAAGGAATCCTTGATCTACAGAAGGGGGAAAGAAAGGGGTCCGTGAACTTGAGCGTTTCATTCAAGATTGTTTCGTTCCGCTTGAATGAAGTCCACCTTGGCGTCTCAAAGAGTATTTAAGAATTGTACACGCTATTCTTGAAATACTTAAGCACCCTTTCAGGTGGGAAGGCTGTCTTCTAGGAGTAAGTTTTTATTACGATTGAAGTATCCGTTGTATTGCCAAATGACAGTGTAGTCCAAGGCGTTCCCGTAGAGGGAGAACCTTAAAGAAAAAGTAACCGTTGTATTGCAAAGCTGTGTATTACATTGTGCCAGCCACAACGTCGCGTTATTTTATCTGATGTGTCACGTATTGAAAAATAGAATACGGTACGCTCGAATGCATTGCATTATTATTTTAATTTTGCAGAATTATTACGTGTCTGAGACATAACGCAATAAACATCGGCGAGAAGTCCTTTACACATCGTTTTATACGCATACAATTACGCTAAGAGTGTTCACTTTGACCAGCGGCGTTCCATTTCCTTCGGACGCTGAATAACCGTTTCTGCGTTTTCCATTCGCATAAGTGGCAGCGAAATCGGAAAGTTTGACATTAGTCTTTAATAATATAGACGGCGTAATTATTTTCAATTGCAGTCCCGCTACGGTCTGCGGCGAGAAAGAGATTTTCTCGAACTCGAGGCGCTCCGGGGTGTTTCAAGGATAGACTCATTAGATTCTCGCGTGTCTCACGCGTGACGTGTGTTAATTTTCTTTTTGTTCTCTTCAGATGAGGGATGCGGTTCCGCAGAAAGGAAGTAATAACGTAGCAACCCCCAAGTCCAAACCGTCCCTAGAGATATATCGACCCCCAGGTTCGTATTCGCTCGCTGTTGACAATAAGGCCCGGTTTCACCAACGTCGCTTAACGTTAAGCTTACAATTAGTAACAGTTGGAAAGAGACAAAGAACGAATGAAGCTAAGCTTGAAGTTAAGCAACGTTGGTGAAATCGAGCCTAAGCGAACTCCAGCTAAGGTGATCGACGATTAAGGCCCGATTTCATCAACTTAGATCCGGTTTTACCAACGTCGCTTAACTTTGAGCTTAGTTTAATTCGTTCTTTGCCTCTTTCCAACTGTTAGAACGAGACAAACGTGAATTAAACTAACAATTAAAGTTAAGCGACGTTTGGTAAAACCGGGCCTAAGTGACGCGTAGTATCGTAGACCTTTATCACTGCGCACGGACGTCGTCCCGTTTGTTTCTTTCTCCACGGTCGCTTCTAGGTGGGAGAGCGGAAGGAACCACGGCGAACGTCACTAATCTTCGACTGAACGTGCACGCCAAGGAATTCACGATGAAGCAGAACGATTCGCATCCTTCTAAGTGAGTGCGAAGCAGCGGACTATATTTAAGTTGCGTGCTGTCACCGCGTGAGAATTGGCCGAGTTGAGTCACGACGCTGTTTCTGAAGCCGTACAGATGTTAACATTAATTACAAAAATACAAATAATGGAACAATTTGGATTTTTAGTGTTTAACGATGTATAGTATTGAAATAATTCGTTTAGTGATCGATTTCTCTCTTTTTTTTATGAGATAATATTAGAACTTGGTCTTTTATTGTTAAGTTACTGAGGTACACACTGTTAAATTTGTAGTGTTAAATTTAACTCAATAAGCAGTCGTCACTGCTCCTATTCAATATGTCGTTAAGTTAATTAAACGATGGAGTTAAAAGAAAAAGATGTAATTATTTTTTAGCTACAATTTGATAGTTAAAACTAACAACATATCGAGAAGCGGCGACTCTACTCACCGAGTTAAATTTAACAGTGCAAAGAAGATTATAATGATATTAGCAATAATGCTAATGTACGTAAAGCATCTTTGAACAAAAGTTGGTCGAGCGCTTCACCCGGAAGCCTCCAGGATCTCGGGCGCCGATTCCGTGTTCGGATCGATCTGTAAATAGTCTGAACGAACGTGTGTCTCGACTAGGTCCCGGACTAATATGTCGGAGCGTTCCGCATATTACCTGCAGCACAGCAAATCGAGCGGTAATATCCACCGGTATCTCTACGCTCAGCAACAGCAACAGCTGCAGCATCCTCTGCAGCAACAGCACCAGCTACCATCCCGTCATTCACATCACCCGACGGCGAACTCCACGATGCGCCAGTCTCATCCCCTGGACACGTCCGCGTCCAGCGGGAACATCTTGCACGTAAGATCGATCTTCATTAGCTTTCTCGGCTATTTGTACCGCAGATTAATGTGCATTATTTAAAATATACCCCTTTAACATGCATTTAAACGGCTCAATTCTCTCACGCTTTAGCTCGATTGGCAACTACGTTACGTTTTCACTCTTTCATATAATACAAAACTGCAGAGTTTGTAGTCGACCGGACTGGCATGATTTGAATGGTTTATTTTATGACGTTTCGACCTAATTCCAGGTCCTTATCAAGTAACAATAGTTAAGGAGCATAGAAAAGGTTGTAGTCAGAAAAGCGAAATTAGTACATTGTCTCACGTGTACCTTTACAACCTATGGACATTTTACATCGCGACTCTTATTCTGACGATGAAAAACGTTGTGACTCAGGAATTTGCCGGTACAAACTTATGTACTCGTTTTGTTTTTCTGACTACAACCGTTTTTATGCTGCGTCGACTACAAACTCTGCAGTTTTATTTAATATTGCCACTGGTGACTATAAGAACACTTATACTCATATAATATACATTTTTTGCACTCGTCGTTTTTGTGGGATTGCATATTACAATGTCTCTGGTTTGTCGTGTTTGTCTTTCACTTTCATTCCCCACTACTGCTAATCTATTTACCCTGATAGCATTTGTTTAATATCTTAAAAATAAATGTACATACGCCCGTTATAGTATAGCCTCTGTCTTATGAACACAGACTGCAGCGCTTGCAGCATGCTCTTGACTTTGGTACGTATATTATATTGTAATGTAACTTTTATTGGCTCTATTTTGTGCAATCTTTTTGCAATTTGCTCAATTGTGTTTCACTCGTACTAATTAATAACGCAAAATATTCGAAGTGGGGATGGTTATCTTATATAAATGACACGTCGAGTGTATGCCGACACAAAATTACCTATTTTATTCAGAAGAACTCGTTTTCTTCTCAATTTTTCTTTAGCATACAATCACGGTGATCTTTAAATCGTAATCTATCATAAGAAAAACAAACTGTACGCGAGATTAAAAGAAGATAGAAAAAAGCATTGAACGCGGTTGTCCGCATTTAATTTAATCAGGGTAGAATGCAAAGCGTCGTCAGCTTATCGTTAACTTCCGAGAAGCTTTTGGATTTAGGTGAAAAATCACTTTGCCCCGTCAGGCCGCGAATCGAGTACACTTCAACGTGGACCAAAACGAAGTGAGGACTAATTCCGTGAAACCGGGCAAGCTTACCAAATCGCACACCTTCGTGTCGACTTACGGCCTGAAGCGCTCCAAGAGCATGAACTCGACGGACGTGTTAGCCGCCAAGGCACTTAACATCGCGGACGCCTCCGAACTCGGCAAATTTCCCTCGCCCGTTCAGGATATTCTTCTACGAGCGATAGAAGGTAAAAGAGTTCTGTTTATTATCAGAACTTATTAAACTGAGAATTTAAGTAAGTCATGTTGCTCCAAATGTACATTCTATACTTTATTGCCTGATCTATACGTCACCGGAACATGACAATACAGTAAAAGCAGGCAAAATATATTATTCTTAACACGTGCTTTCTTTGACAGTAAAATAATGGAAAGTTAATTAACAATTAAAGATTTACCAAACGATTAGAAGTCACTGAAAATAATTGATGTATGTGGTGTCGTTGACAGATCCGAATCTTTTAAATGCGAGGACGTTGATGGAACTAGTACGGCACATTCTGGACAGGGTAGTCGAGAATCGCAAGTACGCTGAGCCGGCAGCTAAAATTTGCATCACGATTATAGAGGTTCTTTCTCTTTCATTACTCTGTCAGTAAAATTGACAAGATCGAAGAATATTCTCATCTTTTCACTAAACGTAGAAGAAATAAAAACATAATGGTCCAAGAAAAACTATTATATCGGAAAAGTTATAGTACTACTTTTTATTTTTGAGAAACACATTAAAAAATACGGTTATTGGCCATTAAGTATTGTTGTCGTTCGCTTTTTATTTTATGCATATCTAAGGTAACCGCACAGAAACAGTAGTATTCCAGTTTAAACGACGATCTTACGATTAGTGTGACATACACAAGATACGATAAAATGTAAAGGAAAGTATTATGAGATCGGATCCTAATATGGGATAGTTTCTATTAAATTAATAGGCATCATCAGTTGAGTCCACCGTGAATTTATTGCCGTTGGAGCGAAATCTGTTTAGTGGAAAATTCACTGTTAGATTGTGTAATCGTTGCGTAAAGAGATTTGTGATTGAATTTGGGTGTTGAAAACCTGCTATCTCATGTTAGAAACCTGTCTCATAATACAGGACTTTTCTCTATAATTTAAAATATGTTTCGTGTGCAGAAAGAAACGAAGGAAACTTTCCTGGAATCCTTGTTAAACACATGCCAACAGTGGTATCAGGATCGCGCTAGATTGCTGCACGACGGCACGACCTGCCATCGGTACTCGGCCTTTATGACGTTTCTCAACGAGATGTATTGCCAGGTATAACTAAGCACATAATGGCACGTTTTATTACGTGGTATTATGTCCGTAAGAAATGCACACCGACTCATTATCGACTTTAACGATACCCTGTGCGAAGAGAAGCGGGCCAGTTGCTAGGTTCTCAATCGGACGTAGCATTCGTTTCGATTGTTCATTTGTATGCCCGGTTTTTTTTTATCGTCTTGTTACGACGGTGCTAAGCTTTCGAGCGTGCCCGCATAAACGTGCGTGATCGTGTTGTTCCAGCTGAAGCGACGGCAACTACAATTGAAGACGCAGCAGGAGGGCGTGCCTCCCGGACGCGTGCTCCTTACGCTGCTTTGGAAGTGCTGCCAGGATTGTCTGCAACCGCCGGCCATCAACTCGCTCGTCGAGGTAAGACTTGAGCTCAAGCGGCGAGTGTCATGAAACAAAACTTGGCTATCAGCAAAACAATTCATTGTCCTTCCAGCCTTAGTTTAGTCAAAATTCCTTGCAAATCTTGCAATCTATTTACAGTTTGAGCTAAAATTACAGAGCGCAAGTATAGGATGAAACCGTAATAAGATGCAAATATGAAATTGCATCCAGGAATGTCAAATGAACTTATTTCATTCTCGCGCCGAATTCTTCGACTCGCTACAAGCCGATCTTTGATTCGAATCAAAATTCGCTGAAACTCGATGGGAAACTGATTCCCGTCTTCGTTTGCACTGTAGACAAACTGTCTGTTCTTCATCCTTACGTGCATCGGCAAGGACCTGGACACGGAACTGCCCGCGCAGCTGCAGCAGCTGCTCGGCAGCGTGCGTGACGCCTTCCTGGCGGAGGAGACCACGCTGCCGCCGGTCAAGAAGACGCTCCTGCAACTGATCGAGCTCCACGCAGCCCACTGGCAGCTGCCAGCGCCGGCGGTGGTTTACTACTACCCCTCGAACTCGAACTCCAAGTGATTGCCATCCCCGCACCCGCGGTCTCTCCGTCCGTCTTCCCAGAATACGTGCGAGTGGACTTGAGCGAAAGCATGAATGTACCTCAATAAGTACATACATGTATCGTAACGAAATGTTTTATAACGAGCTCGCCTCAATGCGGGCGCGCCAATACCTTCCGACGCGACAATAAACACGAACGAAAGTATGACGTAGACGAGTTATACGTTACCTTTTTTTTTTTATTTCACGACAGTCGCGAGCGGTTTGCGATGATCTCGTACCTTCCACGAAACGGAAATTTTTGTTTGATGATTCTGTATGCAAACGATGAATATACGAATAAACAAGTTCTTTTGCACAATCCATCTCCATGATCCGTTCTTGGGGTTGGACAGCACGGCCGGGGAATCCCAACGCGAAAACGCGTTGTAATTTATGCGGGTGATATTTCATCCTCGGTCAAACGTCGAGGACACGCGTCTTTGACTCGCTGCGTGAAAAGGGTGAAAGACCTCGGCGTTTCCGAAACGAAGCGGCGGCTGCGTGCGAATAAACGCACCGTACGCAATAATTGCGTGCGATCTCCTTCTCCGAGTGCCGATTTGTGCCAAGGGCGATAAAAGATCGGCCAGTAGTCGAGAACAGTAGACGCGATTTCACTCCAGGTTGAGTCATAATACGTCGTGCGCACCTTTTGCGCGCCCGGTCGCCGACAGCACCGTCGCCGAATCCCGCCGGATCCCAACGAGCAGTCTAAGGCACGTGTAAAACCGCGCTACGAGAAACCGGAATCTGAAATCTAGTGGTCTCCGGTTTCGAAATGAGAGAGCGACGGACGTAACACAGCTGTTAATTACAATTAAGCCACGCAATTGTCCCGTACTGTTCAGAATAATTGCATTAATTACTATTACATTGCTTTATACAATATGGTAATTTAGGTGCCTTAAGGACGCTCCAAGCACATTTTTTATCTTATTTAAACTCGGACTCCTGTGTCATTTGGATATAGCATTATTTGATCATTAATGCTCGGCGTTGCTAGCATCAGTACAAACAGAGCTAGCTCACTTAAGTCGACTCTGTACACGTCATGTATCAGCGTTATTATCATACTCTTTCCGACTCGTTTGCCGGCGCGCATCTATGTATAATATGACACGGATTTTCTTCTCATTTCCACTTGGGGAAGAGAGGAGAAAAAAAGATGACCAGAGAATGCCGCGAGAGTCGATTATGCGAACGTGCCGTCCTCGGTGTCGTCTCTAATGTGCATCGGCACACCGTCCGTCCGACGTCGCTCGACCTTGAAACGACCGGCGGGAACTCGAGAGAGGTTTCGCCTTGGGTAATCGGTGCCGCGGACTCGAAAACTAGGCCTGCGCCCGCGGTGACGTCGCCGCGCCGCATCGCGCCTTCGTGTGCAGTGGTTTTTCAGCCGGTAACAGTCGTGGGACCGCAAGTGCGCCGCGATTACGCTCCTCGAGATTGCCGTTCCCGCGGACGTTACTTAAAATAGTATGTTTCAGACGAGTCCGTCAAGCCTCGATTAACTCGTGACTGTTCGATAGGGAATCGGTGCCTCGTAATAAGACACCGCCGGATAAAAACGAATTTGGAATTTCAGCTGGACGTAGGAATTGATTCTGCAATGCGGAACCAACTCCTAAATCTAATGTTCTTTTAGAGTAAAATTTGCGAAACAAAATTGGAAATAAAATTCTGCGCCAGCGTTATCTCGAATACAATAGCCGAACTATAGTTCCTAGATACAATTCCACGTGCTGTATACATTTTGTACAGATACAAGAGTTGGATCCTTCTTGCAAAGCCTTCGTGATCACTTTGCGATACAGAATTCAAAATCGCGAGACTGGCGCTCGGTTCCCCCGTAAGCCGCGTCCAGTTGTCCCGAATTAAAAACAAATCGTGCGATCTTCGAACCGAACAATTGTTAATAAATTAACAAAGGCGTGTACGAGCGCGAGCCGTCGTGTCTCTCCTCTAAAGGCGCCGTACGAAAAACGGTTGAAGCACACTGGGGCCGACGACGCCGTAGCCCGCGGAGGAGGCGGCGAGAGGGACAGATACGGAGGAGGAGGAAGAGGAGGAGGCGCGCGTTCGCGGTAACGAAACAAATAGGCCGGCGACTTTCACCGCCGCGACCAAGAGCGACTGTGTGGTGGCGGAGGCGCACCGACCAGCGCACAGTCAAGATCCACAGTCCGAGAGACGGGCGTTCTTGGGGGCCCCGCGCGTGTATCGTCGCTCCTCGTCGCGAGGTGGTCCCTCGAGCCTCGGTTTCCTCGACGAGCCGTCGAGATAGCGGACAGTGATCCTCGGTACCGAGCACGTGGTGCGCTCCGCCAGCGCTTGCACCTCCTTCGCCTGGCTCCGCTCTTGCTCGCGCGACCACACGTGACCGGGCCGCGTCCGGGCCGGCCCGAAAAATCATATACGGTGGCATTTTTACACCTCGCGTGCGTGGTGAACTCTCTCTTTCTCTCCTCCGGCGCGCGACCGCCAGGTGATAGCGATCCGCCGTGCCGCTCGCTCAGCCCTCAGCCTCTCGCCGGCCCGCGTCTTCGGCGAGTTGGAGGATTCGTATGTGCCGCGCGACCGCGGCCGGCACGTTCTCCCATTACCCCGGTGATAGGCGGTACCGACGGCATGCGTCCCCGAGGATAGGAGAGAAAAAGAGAGAAAGAGATTGTCGAAGGGTGCGAGGAAGAAGACAGCGAGCTTGGCATGAGAGAAATGTACGGGCGTGGACCAGGAGAGAGCGAGTGACACACGATGACACGACGACGACCGCTGGCCCGGGGCATCGCGCCGCTCTGCGCGATCGCTTGGGCGTTCTGGGTCGTGTTACCCGCTGAAATCGGTAAATATAATCGCAGACACATCATCCCGGGACCTATGATAGCAAGTGGTAGCGGCCATCAATCTCGCCGCTCATAAAAGAGGGCTATTGAAGCGATGAAAATGTGAAAGACATCTGGTTGGGAGGGCATTCAAAATTTTTTCCGGCTCCGATAACGTCGTATTTTTATTAATAAACACGAATGGCCCTTTTCTTCGCCAGTAAATAGTTAAGAGAACTTAATACTATTCAACCTGGCTGTAACTTAAACTTATTGCGAAAAATATTATCTCAATCGGGGTTTCTATGTATTAATTTCTATTGGTGCTCTAAAAGTGAAAAAGTTTAAGCTAATAACAAATTTTACAGTTGCTGTTAACGTTCGTTATAAAATATATGGTGTATGTATTTGAGTTATCTGTTAAAGTAAATGTAACAGTCGTGTTTGAAAAATTATATCCGACTGCACATTGAAAGTAGGTAATTGTCAGTTTCATTTTTTCAATTTCAACTGTGAACAACTTGATGTGCGTAAAACAGAGCGTAGCGAACTTGGAGAAGGATCTAATGTCAAAACAAAAGCGCCCATACGTTTGATGGTGGTCATATTAATTTACGGATAATTTTACGGTACATCTAGCGCGTTAAACTCGTTTTATATTTTTGACCCGCTTTCGGATGATCTGCATACTGATATGGCCCCTAAATATCCTAAATACATTATCGAAGCAGAAGAGCGTTACGCTACAGTAGTAATTAAGGAACCGAGAAGCCGTATTTTACGTCTGAGCTCGTCGCTCATCAGTTTGTCAGATGACTATTAATTCTCACGAGTTAATACGATATTAGTGTGGACAGGCGATTGTTTTCTT